GTAGCCTGTCCAGGGTGCCTTGGAGCGATGAGTAGTCTGGTGCGGTGTTGTCCACTGAAACCCCCACAGTGCAGTCATCCACGTACTTCCACCTGTAAGGAGTGTCTGATAGAGCGTCGTTGATCAGGATGAGGAAGCACAGTGGTCCCATCTTGGTCCCCTGGGGAACACCGCAGGTGAGGTGTTGGAATGTAGAGACCAAGCCCTGATACCTCACTGCTTGGCGACGTCCACTCAAGAAATCAGTGAGCCATGAGACCAGGTTGGTGGGCAGCCCTAGTGCAATAGCCTTGTTGATAACAGTGCAGTGTGTGTGTGTGTGTGTGTGTGTGTGTGTGTCCCTCAAGAATCAGTCAGTGTTGCCAAATTAGTGGTGACCTTTGACCCTCACCCTTAACCTTCTCAGGCAGGGGACGTCACCACAGAGCAACGGTTCACACATTTGTTTCCTCACTTACTTACTTCACTTACTTACATAATTTACTTATAAAATTTAGTTACATAATTTACTTCCATAGTTTACTTACTTATGTAATTTACGAACTTACAAAATTTATTTACTTACATAATTTACCACTTAGAAAATTTACTTTCTTACATAGTTTCCTTTCCGGTACTTACCAAATTTACTTACTTAATTTACTTTCTTACATAATTGACTTACTTAATAAGCTACTTCACCTTGCAGATTACTTTGGTTGAGTCCTTCTTGAGGTTGACTGAACAATGGGAGAATAATAGACTTAAAAGAATAATATACAGTAAATGTTTTATTATTATTATTATTATTATTATTATTATTATTATTATCATCATCATCATCATCATTGCGGCCTCCCTCCATTTTTTGTGTCCGTGCGTGCGTGCGTGTAGAAACAGCATCAGAAGCAGACAATTGCAGGTAATGAGATCCAACACACCTCAGGCCTACACACACACACACACACACACACACACACACACACACACACACTCCGTATTTACCTTTACATAACTGGAGTATCTCGCGGCTTGGTTGTCACACTCCCTGAAGCTCTCCAGTATCGGGGGGGAATTCTTACGTTCTTGTGCCTGTGAAATTGGATTATTGACGGAGTGCATGTGTGAGCCTCGTCCCCAGGCCTTTGAGGAGTGGAGTAGCTATACCGTCTCAACCCCCGCAACCTCACCCCATGTATCTCACCCACACCCAACGCATACACACACATTTCCATACCCACATCCATACCTACATCCACACCCAAATCCACACCACACACCTACACCACACACCTGCACCACACACCTACACCACACCCCCCCAAATCGTAAAATGTCGTGGAATTTCAGTAGTCTCAGGGCACATAGTTCTTGCATCTGGGTAAATATTGTGGCCTCGTGACCTGGAGTAATGTACAGTATATATATATACACCTTGACATTCCGCTATACTGCATCTGAGTAATGTAATGGAGAATGTGTGAGAGAATGAACACACCCCTTTTGTACCTGTGTGTGTGTGTGTGTGTGTGTGTGTGTGTGTGTGTGTGTGTGTGTGTGTGTGTGTGTGTGTGTGTGTGTGTGTGTGTGTGTGTGTGTGTGTGTGTGTGTGTGTGTGTGTGTGTGTGTGTTTTGAGTGGCTAGTTTTAGTGGATCAATATCAAGTTTCCGTGGATCATTAATCACGTTCGGCTGTTAATAAGTGTGTGGGGTGACCTAGAGGGCTCAGTCAGGGGTGTGGAGGGATGGTTGAGGTGTCTCTCTCTCTCTCTCTCTCAGCACACTGGAGGTGTGTGGGTGTCATTATTCAATCTCCCTCGCCGTGTGTGTGTGGAGACGTTGTACCTCTTGACGGGGAGACAGGTGCTCGACGTCCTCTCTCTCCCCCCTCACTTCCCCCCATCCGTTCACCCTCCCCCACCCCTCGTTATCCACGCCCCTCTTTCCTCCCGTCTTACCCCTCCTCCCCTTCCCATCTCCTCCTCACCTCCCCCCCTCCCACTTCCACAGTCACGGGTCAGATCTGGCCGTCTCTCAGATTGGATGATTTCTAAAGTGATTGGACGTCTTAACTTAGATTAGACGATTGGAGTTGATACCGGATCACCATAGTCCGAATTGGGCAACTAGATCTGGGCGGTAATTACGTCAGGATTGAAACAGTCAGGGGCTAGTTATACAATCACGATTGAGATTAGCCTGGCTGAGGTTAAACAGCGTAGCTTAGATTAAACCAACAAAGCTTGGATAAGACAATGACAGATCGGTTTAGACAATCGTCGATGAAAACACACAATCACAGCACAGATTAGACAAAAACAAACATAGATTAGATAATGAAAGCTCAACTAACGCAGTCTAATCACAGGTCAGTTTAAACAGTCCCAACTCACATTAGACAATCTCAGCACGTGTTAGATGATCGCAGGTTAAAGAATGGCGGCTGAAATTTAATCTTGACGGAAAGTTTACATTTAATTATCGTGGCTAAACCTTCAGTACACAAGGGAGCAACGTGGTCGGTACTGTACTCGACCACCTTCACCCTAAACTGTAAAGGCAGGAGGCACGTACTTACAACTTGAAGGGGACTAATCCTTCCCATAAACGACCTTGAGTTAAGTGATTAGACAAAAGGTTGATGAGTAACATTACTTTAAGGAACCAACTGCACTATTCTGTCACTACATGATAAGTACTGTACCTTGAACTGTATCCTTAATTAATTTGGGTAAGTCGTTGTAGGTATGTAAAGTAATTGTAGGCATATATAAGTAATTAGGCATATATATATATATATATATATATATATATATATATATATATATATATATATATATATATATATATATATATATATATATATATATATATATATATATATATATATACAGTATATATAAGTAACTTTAGGCATATATATATATAAGTAAATTTAGGCATATATACATATGTAATATTCAGAAATTTCAGAGTAATTTCTAACGCCGCGCCATTGGCGATACTGAATTTTCAAGGTCGTCTGAGGGAAGAGAGCGCTCCCCACACATAGCGAGAGGTTGTGGAACTAGGCCTATATGATATTGAATGTAATTTGCCGAATTAATAATGATGCGATTCATGAAGTTAAGGGACTATTATTGAATTTGGAATTATTATAGATCGTTTATCAGTCTGAATAATGTTACGGGTGTCCCAAGGAGTTATTAGTTAGGCGGAAAATATGTCACTAGGCCTAAGCTAGCGCCTTGGAGAGACGCGACGCTGGCTGGTCCTCAGTCACGTGAAAGCGATTGAACCTACAGGACATCCCTGCCCGTCCGTCCACAGAAATAGTCACGTGGCCTAGTCACCTGTGTTGCGCTATTGCAGTATAACAAGTAAGTCGCATTCGATCTCAGACAGGGTTTAGATGGGGCAGTGATAAAGTTAACAAGAGCTAACAGTGAGTTCATTTCAGGGTTTCCGTCAGAACCCACTTGACCCGAGTTTGACTGCAAGAAATTGACTGCGAGAGATTGACTGCCATTTGAGACTGCCGTGAGGATTGGCGATTGTCGCCGTTGGAACGATCAGTGCAGGCTTGTCACTGGTTAGCGGGGTAGCAAAGGATCTCTTGAGTGAACGAGTGCTCCCGACAACTAAAACGACACGGGACCAGCATCAGCATTAGGTGATCAGTTCTTACCACGTGGGTGCATAACACCACGTGCCCTCGGTCAGCTAGAAGTATTACCTACTGGCCATGGTCACCTGCGGGCGTTCTCTCTTCCCGCCCATGGACGCACTGAGAGTACACTGAGGCTATCTAAGTAAATTAATTGTCACACTGAGACCAGGAGTCTAGGGGATACCTAGAGAAACATTTTATCTCCCTTATTACGGGTGTATGTTGAGTTGGGTGGAGCATGGTTCACGGATAGTGGTGAACCCAGTAACATCTCAATAATAGTGACAATATTTTTGTGTGTAGTTAGTACCATTTTTCAGTTACTGATATTATCTTGACGTGTGTAGTAATAGTTCCTAAATGATTTTGATAGCATTGTTTGTTTAATGTTTGTGTCACTAAGTGGAACCAGAGTGATACTGCGATTTAATTCCTTTAATGCATCAAATTTTTCTTTATAATTCCGATCTCAGGTATAACCTTTGTTCCCCAGAGTAGTGTTTAAGTTAGGTTAGGAATTGTGCATCTGTTGGGGTGATATAATTTTGTTGAAAGCCCTTAAGGCCTGTTTCATGTGTGCAAGCAACATTTCTTACTACTTTAAATTTATTGTTGCCTGAGTTTCTAATAATTTCAATATCATGTATAACTTTTATTCCCCAGAGTTGTGTTTTAAGTTCAAGTTAAGAGGTGCACATATTGGTGTACCATTATTTGATTGTGTTTGTAGTGTTGGAGGGAATATAAATGTCTAAATTTTACAGTGTGTCCCAGTCACAGACGCTATCCTTCCACGGGTCACGGACAAGTCATTTTGTTTAGTAGATTTAAGTGTTCTTGTGCTGGTTCGGGATCTTTCTCAAAGGGGCGCTTCCACTGCAATTACCATCTAACAATCTTTAATAAACCCCAAGTCAAGTGAGAAATTAAAGTCCAGTAAATTCCGACCGGTTACATATATATAAGTAACTTTAGGCATATATATAAGTAATTTTAGGCATATATAAATAAGTAAAGTTAGACATATATATAAGTAACTTTAGGCATATATATATCAGTAATTTTCGGCATATATAAGTAATTGTAGGCGTATATAAGTAATTGTAGGCATATATAAGTAATTGTAGGTATCTCTAAGTAATTGTAGGCATATATAAGTAATTGTAGGCATCAGGGCCGGATTAAGACCCTTAGAGGCCGTAAGCACTTAAAAGATTTTGGTGCCCCCCCCCATATATATGTAATTCAAAATATAAACAATAATAAACCATAAAATAAAATGTTATTTTTCGAAATTAAACAAAATTTACAGTAAGATGGAAAATAATGTTTATTTTTGTATACGTCCACTTTATTTATAGTTGAAAAGTTTTCTACTTTCTTTAATTGCAAAGTCTTTGATCAGATCCTCAAAACTAGTCTTATGTAACACATCTGCTTCTATACTTAGTAGAGATAAGGCATCCAGCCTGCCTTGTTGCATAGTTGTTCTGATGGGATTTTTAATACACTTCAACTTAGAAAATGAACGCTCAGCTGAGCAATTTGTGACCATTAATGTTAAAAATATACGAAAGCCAATATCAACATTTGGAAAGGCATACTCGATATTGTCTTCTACAATCATTTTATAAAGTTCAGCATGACTGAATCTTGTTTTTACATTTTTTGTTGCACTGAACTTATGGCGCACATATAAGTGAAACTGCTGAAGCTCAGCTGAGAAATTAGTGTTGAAATCCTCTGGGTAAGCATCAGTCAGCTTTTGACAGCACTGAGAATACCTTTCAATTTCAGTAGATGATGAAGTGGCATTATGTGGCACATCACTTAGAAAAGAAAACCTCTCTGCTATTTCTTTATATATCTCTCCTCTTCTTCTCATCTCAGTTTCAAGTTTGTCAATAATTGTGTAAAAGGTGGTGATACGATATTTATCTCTGTCATTCAGATATACTTCTGGTGCATCTCCGTCATTGGGTACCTTCTTTCTGATACGTTTGTGAGTTTGAGCTGCCTTGTAATCAACATCTGGTAGCATATCCTTTGTAGCTGCTTCATATCTTAAAAATTTATCTCGTGAAGTGCACAGTTGGTCAGCTAATGATCCATACAGATCTGCACATGTTTTTAAGTTCACATCCTCATTTTGTAGAAATTGGCTTACTCTAGAAAAATTTTGCAAAATCTCATTCCAAAAATCAACATAAAAACGAATTCTAGCTCTTGCATCTTATTTGCAATATTATTTGCTTCTCTTCTAGTGTCTCCCTTTTGTGACTGGTCTTCGGCTATACATTCTAACGCTTCTAAAATTTTAAGGAAAGATTTCAAAATTGCTGCTGTTGCCATAGCATGCGCCTCCCATCTGGTATCAGAGAGGGATTTTAAGACACTTTCATTTCCAATACAACCTTTAAGAATTTTCCACCGGCTGGTTGAGGCTGAAAAAAAAGTATAGAGCAACTGCACTGTAGAGAAGAAATTAACAGCCTCTTCACAGCAGTCAACAGCACGTCGGCCTACCAGATTTAGTGAATGAGCCGCACAGGGCACATATATAGCAAACTTGTTTGTTTCTAGAATTTTTTGCTGCATCCCCAGGGGATCCGGCTATGGAAAATTTCTGTGGTGCCCCCTTCCCTTGATGCCCTAAGCACGTGCTTATTTTGCTTAATGGTTAATCCAGTCCTGGTAGGCATATATAAGTAATTGTAGGCATATGTAAGTAATTGTAGACATATTTAAGTAATTGTAGGCATATATAAGTAATTGTAGGCATATATAGGTAATTGTAGGCATATATAAGTAATTGTAGACATATATACTGAAAGTAATTGTAGGCATATATAAGTAATTGTAGGCATATGTAAGTAATTGTAGGCATATATAAGTAATTGTAGGCATATATAAGTAATTGTAGGCATATATAAGTAATTGTTGGCATATATACAGTAAGTAATTGTAGACATATTTAAGTAATTGTAGGCATATATAAGTAATTGTAGACATATTTAAGTAATTGTAGGCATATATAAGTAATTGTAGGCATATATAAGTAATTGTAGGCATATATAAGTAATTGTAGGCATATGTAAGTAATTGTAGGCATATATAAGTAATTGTAGGCATATATAAGTAATTGTAGGCATATATAAGTAATTGTTGGCATATATAAGTAATTGTTGGCATATATACAGTAAGTAATTGTAGACATATTTAAGTAATTGTAGGCATATATAAGTAATTGTAGGCATATATAAGTAATTGTAGACATATTTAAGTAATTGTAGGCATATATAAGTAATTGTAGGCATCTATAAGTAATTGTAGACATATATACTGTAAGTAATTGTAGGCATATATAAGTAATTGTAGGCATATGTAAGTAATTGTAGGCATATATAAGTAATTGTAGGCATATATACAGTAAGTAATTGTTGGCATATATACATTAAGTAATTGTAGACATATTTAAGTAATTGTAGGCATATGTATGGGCATATATAAATGTTTATGAGGCATATATACTGTAAGTAATTGTAGGCATATATAAGTAATTGTAGGCATATATAAGTAATTGTAGACATATATACTGTAAGTAATTGTAGGCATATATAAGTAATTGTAGGCATATGTAAGTAATTGTAGGCATATATAAGTAATTGTAGGCATATTTAAGTAATTGTAGGCATATATAAGTAATTGTAAGCATATAAAGTATAGTTATAGGTTATATATAAGGAGTTGTAGACATACCATATAGATTGTTACAAGTGATCGTGGGCCCTTCGTGCCCGGTGGCGAGTCCGGTGGTACAGTTTATCGAGGCCTGAAAGTTCGAACGCTCGTGCTGGGCTAGCGTGCAACCGCCGTCTGGCTGACAGCATACAGTACATCGTTTTCCAGATGGTCGTGGTTGTTATAATCATGGTCGTGCTTGTTATAATCATGGTCGTGGCTGTTATAATCATAGTCGTGATGTTATAATCATAGTCGTGGGTGATATAATCATGGTCGTGATTGTTACAATAAGGGTCGTACCTGAGCTAACACAGGTAAAATAAACCCCACACCTTATCTATAATCTCAATAAACCCAGATTAACCTCACCTAATCAACAGGATTAGAGACCATTAGGATTGTACCACCAATAGTGATACATTTCACACTGGATTAATAACAAAACATTTAATCACATTTCCAATAGCTAATGTCTTACTGATATCTTATCAAGTTGTGGGTCTTACATGTCTATATAATTGTTTTATTCTTACAAATATTTATAGTTCGTTATGTATTGTATGGTATGATATTGTATGGTATTGTATGGTATTGTACTGTATTGTATCCGGCTGACAGCGTACAGCGAATGAGGGTGCAGCAAGTCCGTTGACTTGCATGGTTAATTAGAGTGCGCCAAGTCCATAGACTTGCATCGTTTTCCATCGTAAATAAAATGGTTAATTAATGCCTTCCTAAAAAAACCATTGACATTGGACCAGGTTTGTTCCACTCTACGAATTTTTTGCGATTTTTCCACCAAGTTTGATGAAAAACGATTGTGCCGTTTCGGCTGCCCAGAACAGACAGACAAACAGACAGACGGCTAGTCCTATAGAATATTAGATACTACTGAATAGATTAAATTAGAATAATATTACAGTAGTTTATGCCACTTGGGAAATAAGACTCCAGTCACCGCCTCAAGACCCTCAGAAGGTAGTATGAAGTAAATGAGGGGTTGGTGGCGCTCTGAGTGTGTGTGTGTGTGTGTGTGTGTTCCTAAATCCTCCAGAATTAAGTTAAATGTTCAGAAAGAATTGCTTAAAACAAGCTATTTTTTCCTAAACATTTCCCTAAAAGCTTGAAATTTAAGGAAAATAGGTGAAAATAGCTTAACGCCAGCAAATCTTCCCCTAGATTATTATAAAAACTGATTTTTCCCTAAAACCCCCAGAAAAGAGGGTAGGAAATATCGCTTAATATCAGCTAATTTTCCCTTAAACACTCCCCATCGTAACCCGGAATTACGTGCACCATAAGCGTCATGCAGGAACGTGAACCGGGTTTAAACAGGGTGTTCAGGCGAGGTGATTATCTACGAGTAATGTTGGTTTTACGGAGGTGGAGGTGGTGATGGTGCACTCTGGGTAAACTAGGTGCACTCTGGGTGATCTTGGTGCACTCTGGGTAAACTAGGTGCACTCGGGTGATCTTGGTGCACTATGGGTGATCTTGGTGCACTTTAGGTGAACTAGGTGTACTGTGGGTGAACTCGGTGCACTGTGGGCGAACTTGGTGCACTGTACAAGGTGAACTAGGTGCACAATTTGATCTTAGTGCTGGGTGTTAAGTGGTGGTAGGTTAGATTAGAGTAGTTAGTTTAGGTTCAGCAAGGTTAATCTAGACTCAGTAGGTTAGGTAAGGTTAATTTAGGTCAGGTCAGGTGGCAAGGGTGAGAGGTAAGAATGTGGTGGTGGTGTGTGTGTGTGATGCTGCCAAACTCAGGCTTCAGTAAATGTTTTAATACCGTGCGGTCACTCCCTGCCTGCCTCACTCATAACACGTGTGGGCGTGATGTTGGACTGACACACACACACACACACACAAACACACACACTTGTTTATATTAATTTATTTCAGGTTAGTGTTATAAGTTAACAGACAACTGAGGTTATTGACTGAGTTTTGAGAGAGAGAGAGAGAGAGAGAGAAAGTGTGTGTTGCCAACTTTCCTCCTCCTCGGTGCACTGATGCTTGAGTAAGTAGTGTGGGAGAGAGTTAGGTGTTGGAGGAGGGCAGGAGATTTGATGCAATTCTCCACCATTCAGCTTGGTGTTGGAGGGGCAAAAATTGCAGGTTAAGTAGTGTTGGCCGTGGCCCTGTTGACCTGCTCTTACGGGCTGTGGATATTAGCACACGAGGCAGAGGTGGTGATGGCTTACCAACTGGACGGTAAACCTAGCGCACCCTACCCTACCCTACCCTACCCTTTGAGAACGATGACACAATGACCACGGAGACAACTCACAAAGATAAGGACATAGTGACGTGGTTTAGAAATAAGGAAGACCAGTGTAGAGATGTTTAACTGGAGTTATTTGGGTGAGAAAAAGTGTGTGACAGAGAAGTTGATTATTACTGCTATTATTAATAATAGTCCAGTCAAACTAGGATTTTTAGCGGAAAAAATTATAAAGAGATTAAATTTTGCACACATACTCCTGAAGGCTATGCAAATAAAGATCAAAAGAGTTCCCCTCCGTCCATATGCAGCAACTTCCCCTTTTACTACATTATCCCCAATTGTTTTGAAAGCGGTGCATCGGACGAGAAAGGTTTATATAGAAAAAATATTGGAAATAAAATTCTGCACAAGATTGTCTATATGTATTTTTTCTCAAGTTGAATATATTGGTTATGGGATAGGCCAAGAAAAAGTGAGACCAATTGACGCAAAAGTTGAGAGCATTGTAAAATTCCCTGCTCCCTCAAGTAAGGAGGAGTTTTTAAGGTTTCAAGGGATGAGTGGGTATTATAGAAGACTTTGTAAAAAAAAAAGCTTCCACTGTGGTATGGCTTTTGACGAGAGAGTTGTCAAAGAAAGTTAATTTTATATGAGATGTCCTTTGTGAAGATGACTTTACCAAGATTAAGAACATTTTGATTAATGCCCCAATTTTGTCAACTCCAATTTATGGTAAACCATATAAGTTGTACGTTGATGCAAGTGATGCTGAAGTGGGTGGTGCGTTGATGCAGGAGAAGCAGAATCATCCATTATGTTATTTTTCAAAGAAGTTTCTGTCATACCAGAAGAACTATAGTACTATTGAGCAGGAAACTCTGGCTTTGATTTTGAGTTTGAACCATTTTGTTGTTTATTTTTGGAGTTTTGGAACCCCAGTTCTAGTGTTTACAGACCATAATCCTTTGGTATTTTTGCAAAAGATAAGGAATGTGAGTCCCGCCTTGTCTCGCATTCCAGCCACTCATGAGTCACCCCGAGGGATGGCTCAAGCCTCTTTCGGGAAAGGT